AAAGTGTTACCCACTTGAGGGAAGTGTTGCCCTATTACAGTAAGATTAATGTGTCTGTCAGTTTATCTATGTAAGGTTTCCTCAGCTGAGTCTACAAAACAGCAAAATGTCTGAATTTTCTCAAATAGTCCGGGTTGATCACTGATAAAAGAAATGTTAGCAACTCCAACAGCATATGTAGACTCCTTCCTTACACACATGCTTATTTTTTTGGATGAGCTGCTTATTGTGTTCCAACTCTGAAGTTGTTTAGTACCCCAATAGATCTGGTGTGGATTAACAGAAATTATAACATCTCAAGCCCCTTGTGGGTTAACATAAATTGTAAGACCTCAAACCCCCTGAGGTTCTGAATTTCATAGCACACTAAATTTTTGTTTTGATAGCTGCTTAAGCTTAGTTTCCCTTCTTGTACTAATGTGTGGTTATGTTTACACAACTTTAACCCCTTTCCCTTTTTTAATGACATAGAATCTCAGGGCCTGTCTTTGATTATTTTTCTTCGAATAATCACCTTTTCAAGGAGTAATTTTTGCTTTCTCCTCGAGGCAATGTTGTGTTACCTTGGTCTGTCCCGTGGTTTTGTCTCCTGAACACTTCACAGTGTTCAGGGTTTTGTGGGGTTTCTTTTGTCGACCCCCTTACCCCAACAGCTGCCACCACACCACTCCCTGTTTTTCTGCTTTTTAACCTGGAATCCCAAGGAGAGCTTTGTGGTCACTGCACTGAAAGGAGAGAGAAAGGACAGCAGCACACACGGAGCTCTTTGGGGAAAAAAGGCCAATTTATTGTACAGCCAGCCCGGATTTAAAGTGTGTCAGTGCAGCCAGGACAGGACAGGAGCTCATGGGACAATTGGGAAAAACATCCCTGGGACAGCACCTCAGGATGTGTCCCACGGGAAAGACACCAGGGGTTAATGTTGGTGATGAATTCCACTCTGTTTGTCACCATGTTCTCACCCTGGGAGACTCCTCCCTAACTGAAGCTGCAGTCAGCTTGTCAGCCTGGGAATGGAGCTGAGAGTCAGGAGAAATCCAGGCCTGGAGAGAATTCCCAAGCTGGAATTCCCCGGCTCTGTCAATGTGTGTGTCCACACCCTGTACCCCAGCAGCTGCCACCGCACCCCTGCCCTTGTTCTCCTTTTTTCCCCGGAATCCCGAGCGATGTTTGTGTTCGCTGTGCATGGGGGAGGCTCTCCCTGTGCAGGGGCTCTGGGGCTGTCCCCAGAGGTGCTGCAGGCAGTGCTGAGCAGGTTTGTGTTCTGTCACACACAGCTGCTGCCCGCACGTCCCTGTCCCAGTGCCACCTCTCTGCGGCGCTTTGCCGGGGGGCTGCAGCTGCACACCACCGACCTGGATGACATCAACCTGGATGAAGGTGACAAACCCAAACCTCCTCCTCCTCCTCCTCTTGCCGGGGGGCTGCAGCTGCACACCACCGACCTGGATGACATCAACCTGGATGAAGGTGACAAACCCAAACCTCCTCCTCCTCCTCCTCCTCCTCCTGCTCCTGCTGTCACCCCAGCAGCACCAGCTCAGCCACCTCCTGCCCCCAGTGCCCCACGAGGTCCAGCCCTGTTGGTGACTCCAGCTCCCCAGGTGACCTCGGGATGTGTTTGGATGCTTGTGCCTTCTCCGTGTCCCTGCATCCCTGATCCCTCACCCTCTGTGCCCCCTGGCTCTGCCCTTCTGTGCCTTGCTGTTAAAATGAGGGGCTTGCTTCGTTTTTTCAGAGGTAGTTTCATTTTAGTACTTGTTCAATCTAAATCAGGAAGGCTTTGCTCTCCTGCTCTTACACCTTGTAGCCCTGTTGGTTTCACATGTCCTAGGCAGAATGTATCAGTTAAAAAAAAAAGATGTTTTGGACTTGAGTGATTAAAGATGTAAAACAAACAAACAAACAAAAAAGCAGCCACAGGCAGCAGATTTAATTCACTGTTAAATTTGAGAAAAGTATCCCTGTAGTGAAAATGACCTGTGGAAGTGCTTTACATGTGTCATCAAATTGCTTTGTTAGGTGAGAAGAGTGGACAAAGAAAATTGGTCAAAAGTCAGAAGGTCAAACTTTTAAAAGGTCAAAACTGTGTAGAATGAAAAAGCAAGAGCTGGTAACCTGGTTTGACTTTCTGCCTTTTGAGAAAACATCTACTTTATCCTTACTGCAATCTGAGACCAAAAGAGGATCAAATAAAAGAAATCTTGTGCCAAATCTGACTTTAGGGAAAAAATGGCAGCTAATTAATCCTAATTCCCTCTGCAGTGAGAATCATGTACATCTCTTTTGGCAAAAGATGCTTCCTTGTCTCGAGCAGCACAAGAGGATCCCATATGATCCCTTCTTTCCTGCACAGTTTTCTGCACGTGTTCACTGGCTGCACTGTTGGGTTTTGGGGTTTTTGCACGTTTACTAAATAGTCCTTGCATGGTTTTCCTGGGGTGGGGAAGGATATCCCTTTTTGGTGGAAAGTGGTAGATTTTGTGTGAATGATTGCCCTGATGTGACCCATGAATGTTGTGTAAATTTATGTGCTGCTCTGACGGTGTTGATATGTGTGGTTCATACCCTTGAAATGCCAAGACTGTGCTAGATCTGCTGAAATGGAAATATCAGATGTTCTTATGGATAGCAGGTTTCCCAAGCTATTTGCAGAATAAAAACGATGTGAAACAACACAAGTGTACAAAATACTTGTGTTGAGAGGAGAAAGAAACTCCTCTAAAGAGAAAACAGAGAATATTCAGATGGAAGGAGTAATACAGGAACTGCCATACTGATCTGACCCCAAAGTAATCCATTCTAATTTCTCTTTCTGGCACTTTGTCACTGTGTTAGAGAAAATAAATTAATAATTAAGAAAAATATGTTAGGTAACAACAAATAACCTAGCCTTTGAAATTAATGTCAGTTTTCACTGAATATAATTAGTGTATATGAGAAAATAACTAGGCTCTTAGTAAAATTAATTGAGCCAAAGCTGATGATTTGTTTATAAATAGATCATTCAGTATTTCTGATGTCGTTTCAGAAATAGAAGAAAAATCCAAAGCTTGACAATTTATTTTTCCTACTACAAATTTATTTTTCCTATTACCTGTTACAAAGTCAGTTTTAAAACCCACAGATAAGCAAGAGCAATGCATTTGTGTGACTATGGATTAAAGATCTCGTGTTTATGCCTGATAAAGCCAAAAATAAGACACCTGTAGTTGTCCCATAAGTTCATTTTTCTATTACTCAAGCTGGTAAATCTTCTCTACATTGCTCCATTTTTGGTTTTAACCCAGATCCTTTAATTTCCAATTCAGCTCGAACAAAACCCGACAAAAGGAATAAAAAAATCCTGTCAGAGATGTTCTTGAGAACTAGCTATTAAAATATCTGGTATAAATTGTCTGTTTCTGCAAAAAAAAAAAAAAAAAAAAATTATTATTAGCTTTACCCTTTATGTGAACCCAGCCCTAAGTGTGTTGCTGTTTAGGTTGTGAGAGACACCTCCCACGCTGGCAAAGCACCGAGCACACCCCTGGTATGTCCCCTGCTGTTTGTCATGCCTGGCCTGCCATGAATTCCATGAATTTCCCATGCAGTGCTGGTGGCAAAGGAGTTGCCAAGGGGGTTTTGACTCCAATTTATTTCAAATTGGGCACACGGAGTGATGTGTGTGGGTACTGAAAGCACGAGGGTGGCACTGAGTGCCCAAGGATTTTCTATCCCAACAGTTCAGCAAAAATGCTGAAATCCACCTTTGCATGTTGTGGATGTCTGTGTGTGCTTTGCTCTTCCATCCAATCCAAAACTGCTGGGTTCAAACTGTCTTTTAAATATAATGGGTGCTGGGGATTAAGTTTCATCTCAGAACCATCATTTGTCTGGTCTCTCTTTGCACTGATTTTGAGTCTGAATGATCAGATGCCCGTTCTGCACTCTAGAAAAATCTAAATTGTGCAACTCCAGGAGAAATCATTCAGTTCCAGTGCAGCTTAACAAGCTGGTGTCTGTGAATCTGTTGGTTTTGATTCTTCTAAGTTCAGAATGCTTCATGATGCAATGTATTTTGCTGTGTGGAACAACATTAGTTGAGTGATATCCACAGGGACTTTCAAATATCTGATTCAAACTTTTTAAAAAGTTATTTAAGAAAGGAAAAAATGGGAGAAAAGCCCACAGGGGAAAAAAAAACCCCGTACACGTGCAGAAAAAATAAACAAACAAAAAAAATCCAAAAAGTGGCTTAACCTATTTGCTGAATGCAGATAAATAATTTCAGGGGTTACAGCTTGTTCCATAGGAAAGATCTCTGGAATACATCACATTTCCTATGAGAAATACTGAGAAAAGTGTCCCAAGAGCTGCTGGGGTTGGGTCAGAAACTGAAGGCACCAGGGCTCAGTTCTGAATTGTTTTCTGGAGTAAAGCTGTGCTGGGTGTCAGTGGCAGCTCTGGACCAGCACAGGCCGAGTGTGTTCAGCCTCAGGTGCCTCTGCCTTGTGGAGTCCAGGGCAGGGAATTAAAGTAACCAACCATCCCTGTGAAATCAGGATCATTCACCTTGAAATTCCTTGTGGGAAGCTGTTTGCTGCAGCCCTGCCGAATTTTGTTTTAAAAGATCTATTTAGCCACGGATTAGTTAAAATCTTGTTTTGGGTTCACTGTGTTCTTACACTCAACTTCAGCAGTTTTGGGCTTTTTTTTCCTGCTAACTTCTCATTCAGTTTATTGCCTTCATGGGAAAAATGCCAAAAGCAGGGCTCAGATTTTTTTCCATAATCTTGCTGGTGAAGCCAGAATTGAAGTGAAAAGCTACTACTTGGATATAAAAGAAATTGTGTGTTTTGACTTTGTAAGCCTCAGTTCAAATAATTCTGTCAGCTCTTCTTTGTATCAGTGTCGTTGAATTCTTTATGATAAACCATTTGAATTGAGGAGTCTTGGTGAAAGGATGGAATTGCACAAATGAGGTTGTGAGCTGTAATTTTCTCAATTTAACTCCATAGCAACTTGCTCCAAGTCCACCCAGCCAGCGACACCCAGGGGTGCCAATAGTCTCTAAACCAGTTATGCTGCATCCTGACCCAAACTTCGTGGTCAGGCCAACAATCAGATCAGAGGCCCTGGTAAGCCTTTTCATATCCTTTTTTTTCTTAGTGCTACATTGCTGTGGGGATTCAGGTTTGACATTGTTCTTGGAGATGTCCCCAAAGAATAAATCTTTGTCCCATTTCCTGCTAACTAAAATGCCTGTATGTTTTCAATGGTAAGTACAAAACAGTATTTTTCCCATTTTTTTCCACGGAGGAAAAGCCACTTTTAGTGACAATTTTTGTACAGGGGTGCATAATTTCAGAGCAGCATAAAGCCCTAGAATTTGTACATCTTATTTCTCATTTATTCAGATGCTGGGTTTTATTTTTATAAATTCTGAATTCATCAGAAATAATGAAGATTAAGTCAACTGCTTTTTTCCTTTTTAAATGATCGTGAACATACTTGAAGCTACAAACCCTATATAATTTATCTTATATATACATATACATACATTTAAATATATATATATATATATTATTTTCCAGGGGAAAAAAATTGTTGTTATATCACACTCCAATATACTGGCCATATCCTTTATCTTATTTCTTTTCCATTTCTGTTTCAAATGCAAGTGAAAAGTCAGAGGCTAAACCTTTTAGGATCAACCACGTAGCATCCTTGGGAATTGTAGTTTATGAGGGAAGGTGAACCAAGGCTTACTGAGCAAAAAATGAGAAATATTGCTGAGACAGATGATAACTCCCAGCTGACAGTCCTTGAAATTCACCTAAAATAGCTGGTGGACTAATTAGTGGTATTTATTGTGGAGGGTCATCATGACCTAAGCTGTTAGTAGGGGAGTTCTGGGTTTGTTGCATGCATTTGTAAAAGAGTAAGTGACAGAAAAACCATCAAATCTGTCTTGCATTTATTTAATTAAAAGCTATTTCTGGCAATAAATTATGTGCACAATATTCTTAGCTGTGTTTCATTAAAATATGATGGTTTTCTTTATGATTCTTCATTTTAATAATTTAGTTATTCTTGTTCCTTTATTTTCCCCAGCTAGATTTTGAACAAATTTAAGTGATACTTAGCAACCACTTTTCCCACAGCCAGAGTCATCTTGAAGGTTCTATATTATAAATTAATGGTAATTGGAAGCAGTTTTAATAAGTTGTGTAAGAGAAGGCAGGCACAGGAGCTAAAAATAAATTCAGATCCCTCCAGTGGAGATGCTTGCTTCAGTTGGAGCTCTCATTTTGATTGTGTTCAGTAATTTAACATCTCTAAGCAATATGCAGTCCCTTAGCAGAGGAATGAACAAAGTCATAATCTGCAGTTAATACCATCCAGCTCTTGAAAAAGTGTGTTTATATGAATTAGTTTGCAAGTGGATAATACTGTTCTGTGTGATCAAACAGTCGTGGTATAAATTTTAAAAGGCACTTTTTTTTTTTTTTTTTACTGACTACCTACAGTTACTTTAAGAAACTGGCAACAAGACCTGCCTCCATGGGAGATGTTTTATGATTTGTTATGCATGCATGCACATTTTCCAAATCACAAGTCTGCTAAAATCTCGAATATTCAATCATCTTCCTTCCCAAACTGCCTCACATTAGTTGTGAGATCAAAATTTCTGAGGGAGCAATATTCTGGTAGGATTTTGAGAGAAAAATCAGTCTATAAATTGGTTTGGCAGAGCTTATTCCTCTTACCTCCCTTGATGATTTACTGCAATAAATAAAAGGTATTTATTGATCCTCCCTGCAATGAAGTCACCAGTGGTATGTGAAATAAAACTTCCATGGTGCTGAACAGGGAGATTACTCCCCCTAGTTAAAAAAAAAAAAAGGAAAGTTTATGACAAAACAAGCAAGACAAGCCCGTGTCCAGAAGTTACAAGGATGCTAGTTAGGGTTCATGCAGGAGGGGTTTGGCTGCTTGCTGTGTGTGATTTTGTGTTTAAGTTCATTTTTACACTCAGGACCAGTCCCACAGCACAGCACGGGCTGTCTGCTTCCTCATCTTCCTGCATTTCACACACCTTCTGGAATTCCTTTTGTGTCTTTATAGCTTTGATATCTTAATTTCACATCATGCACACCACCTTTTCTACCTTGTTTTTACCTGAATTTAACTGTCCCGAGGACAAAGCTCAAGAAACTGAGGTTGATGGATTTATTTGATTCAAGCAGATAATCCAGTTAGCCTCTATTCAAGCAATTGACTCGTAAAGAAGATGAAAAAGCATGCACTTAAGAATAAAACAGGCATGCAAGAATGAGTAAAATTCTCCTGTCACCTGCAAGGTTGTTGGGCCAGAGAGTCTCTGTTGTGACTTAAGTAATCTTGTTAACTAAATCCAGGTCAGAATTACCAGGTCTTTTAAGAATTGATGAAAATGAAATTGTTTTCAGTTATCAGCAGGGAAATGATGGGAGATGTTTAAACCTTGGCCTGGAGCACTGAGGGCAGTCTGGGTCAAGATCAGTGTGAGCTGTACAGGAGAGAACTCGAATTCACTCCTGGCAAAGCCAATTCAATTCTGGCTCAGAGAACAGGAGAGGATTGTTATGGTTTAGCAGTGAGATTTCCACAGATGCAGAACCACCAGGAATATTCATCTCTGTTCTGCCATCCCTCACCAACATCCTGCTGTGTGAGTTACAGGGCTCTGCTGCACTTGCTGCTGCAAAAGATTTGTCCTCCCTTATTCTTTTGTGGCTGGATGAAGAATTTCTGAAGGGGAAAAAAATAATATTTAAGCTTTCCTCTAATTTGCAAGATTTGAAGCCTGATTATTCTGCAGGACAGAAGTCAAGGCAGGTACCTTGATGGGGGAGGATTGGAAATTTCAGTTAATCTTGGTTATACCATTCCAAAACAATCTGTGTATCGTTTTTATCCTAGTTTGTTTTTTGTAAGAGAAGTTCTAAGGAGATTTGTGGAAAATCCTTCCAAACTTGCCCAGAAGTCCTCGAAGACAAAACCTCACAACTTGTATTGATTAAACACAAACCACATTTCATTAACTCTAGAATCTATTTTCCCAAGTCATGGTGACTATAGGACACTGAAGGAAACATTAGTGAAACATGCACAGTAATTTGTTTGAAAGCTAATTGAGTTTCAAGAGGTAAATGCTTGGTCTGTAGAAAATATTCCTTATTTTAGAAGACTCAAGGACATTACCTGATTGGCTGCAAGGTTTTGAGTGGAGGCCTGGGAAGTGTCAGTAGTGTTTTGTATGATAATATGGGGTTTAGCCCATTTCATTTTTGAAAATTTTTGTAGACTAATAAGATATTCTGCATTTTAAGTGATTCCAAACTACAGTGTGCCTCTAAGAATAGTAGGAGTGACAGAAAAACAGAATGAATATGGAATTTGAAGCCAAATGCAACAAAATAAAATCCATTAAATAATAGAATTCACCTCTCCAGTATAGGAAATCCTTGGTAGGAAAGCAAATCTTAAATGCATAAGGTTGCAAATACATACATTTATCATGACTTCTCAATATTTTGGGAACTATTGTTTACCATTTTGTCCATGTTTAGGGTTGGGGTTTTCTTCAATTTTTTTTTTTTCTCATCTATCATGGGTGAGACACCCAAAGCACTTTTTTTTTTAGAGATTAATTGTAAAAGCAGTCATGGAAAATATTTTTAAGAAATCTTGTGGTATGGAAATGTGCATTATTTATGTAGTTTCTCTAGAATTCTTTCCACTTTGCCCTCAGTACTGTTTCACAGTGTGTGTGTTCTCTCATTTTGAAATGATACAGGGAACAAGCACTAACAAGTGCAAGTGTGATTCAGTCCCTAGGAGAGCAAAAAAAAGCAGTAAGATAATTTATGAGTAGGTGATACTTATTTACAGCAAAAAGTTAATACCTGGTTTGGCAATTTTCTTTCTTTTGCAGCCACAAGAGATGTTTAAAAGGATGGTGGTTTACAATTCATCATTTAGATCTAACAAAAAACAAGTAAAAAAATCCATTTTCCGTGTTTTGTGTGGTCTTCTTGTTTGACTGATCATAGATTTAAAACTTTCCTTTCCAATTCTGTTGCTCAGTTTCTAAAACAGAAGATGCAAGTCAGCCCTAGTGCATGAGAACTGCTGGTCTGTGTAAGCTCCAAGTGTGTGCCTGTGGCTCCTGCTGGTCTGGGCAGAAGAAAAATGAGAAAAAAAATCCTTCAGGTTGCACCATCTATAATTAATTAAATGGTTAAGTGCAACCTTTAAGATAATTGATCAGTAACTGATCTGACACTGATATTCCTAAGATTTCCTTGTTTCTTTTCGTGTCCAGCTGCAATGCTTTCAGTGATAAAACACTTGATCAGGTTAACAAATAGAGTTACCATCATAATGTAGTTATTGGTAGGAAATAGAGGACTTGGGGTGGAAAGCCCTGCTCGTTCAGCCTTCCTGTGCTCTGTAGGATTTCCCCACTGCATTTTTAAATTTGTTGATTTCCTCTGTCATGATGATCAAGTTTTCATCTCTTTGTCTTTGCTTGGCTGGTGGTTCAATAGCTGGTTCCTTGAACAAGTGAATTTTATGCTGAATTTCTCCTCTGCTGTAAAATGTGCCAGTTTCTGTACCAAACCCCTTTGTTAGTGCAAGCTAAGTTAGATGCATTGATGTTATATGAAAAGTTGGCACGCAGTAGTGAGCTCACTTTGAGCAGTAAAACTTAGATTAAAAAGATTAATAATAATTTTTTTCTTCTTTTAATCGGTTTCAATCTATATCTAGAAGGGAAAACTGACTGACAAAGATCCATCTTTGAGATTATTTATTTGCCTGTAAATGCCAGTATGCTCTGAATATACAACAATTATGTTCTCAAAAGAAGTGGGTTTTTGAAAAGTTTGTTTTTCCTGGTCATGAGTTTCTCTTTCAATTATTTGGTGTTGTTTTTGTTGTTGCTTGGGCTTGTCTGTTTGTTTGTTTGTGTTGTTGTTGTTATTTCAGGTCTCAATTGCTCTTGACTATTGAAGCAGTGTCATTAGTATCAGTGCTTGTGGTTTGGAGGTTGTTTTTTCTTTAAACAGTAGCTCAGCTTTCACCTCGAAATCCAGACAGAGAGCTGTTTCAGGGCAATAAAATATTTTACTGCTCCATTTTCAACTTATGCTGAGTCCTCTGAATGTTTTTATAAGTCAGGAAGGGATTTGAAAGGTCCTGGTTGGTGTCAGGGTGGGCTCAGGGCTGTGCTTTCCACTTGGTGCTCCTTGGTTCATTGTCCTGGCTTGGGTGTGGAGGGCACTCGGATCTCTGGGTTTCTGGAGTGCTCTCTGAGTTTCTGGAGTGCTCTCTGATCTCTGGGTTTGTGGTGTCCATCCTGGGGAAGTTTACTGCAGCTCAGTGCATGTCTCCATTCTCTCTTAGCAATATTTGTGCATTACTGGATGCAGATACATCTCTGGCACAGCAGTTGGGGTTGAATCTTAGGGAATGGTTTTTCACCCCCAGGGTGGTTGGGCACTGGAAGAGGCTCCCAGAGCTCCAGGAGTGTTTGCACAGAGCCCTCAGGTGCCTGGTGTGACTGTGCAGGGCCAGGAGCTGGGCTTGGTGATCCTTGTGGGCTCCTTCCAACTCGGGATATTCTGTGTTTCTATGACTTTTGCTTGCAGATTGGTTTTTTTGGTGGTTTTTTTTTTTATATTTTGTGTGTTTGTTTTTGTGGAGTTTTTTGGGTTTTTTCCTGTTTAAAGATTATTTTCCCAGGGAAACTTCCTTCAAGGGCAACATCTGTTTTTCATGAGGACAACCTGGGACAAACAGTTCATTGACTTCCTTTAGATTTCATAATGACTTGGTGGCTTGGCTGAGATTGCAGTTCTTTTCTCTAAATTACTTGCTCCAAAGCCATAGACACCTACTTTAGCCATGATTCCAAAAGGCAGTAGTAAGTCAGTTATTCAAAGCATTAATTGTTTAGATAGCTTTCATTGTAAAAAATTTCTTTTACAGTTTTAGTTAAATGGTTCATAATATTAATACACTTTGTAAATTAACAAATTATTGGTTGAAGTTTTTTTTCCCGGGATGAAATTCTACCCTTGCTGATGTCTGTGATGAAATTCCCATTTAGCTGGTTAACAAATGTAATGAAGTGTAACAGACTTAATGTTATGGGTGAGATCAGAACCCAGAGGGTTCAGTCACATCCACATTAGGCAACTGAAAGAGGTGATAGAGTACAGCAGAGGAGGTATTGGTGTTTTCTGCTGCAACTTTGCCATTTAACAGCCAGCCCTTAAATATAGCACAGGAATCTCGGGCTGTGTGTTTGGTTTACAAGAGGAAAAAGGCTTAGCTGAGTCTGACAGTGGAATAGTCTTTGTTGTCAAATGGATCCAGTGGAAAAGAAAAAAAGCTTAAATCTTGCTGTGCCTAGCTGCAGTATCATCCTCTACGTTTCAGACGTTCCCTTACAAAACTTTTAAGTTTTAAGCCAACTCCCTGAAACACCACATCAGGAAGGAGAGAAGGGGCTGAAAAAGAATCCTAAAACCCAGACAGGGTGGAGCAGTATTGCTGCCAGGTGAATTGCAGCCTGTCATTTCCACCTGTTACCATCCAACATGTTGGTAAGAAATCCCAGGATTTCCCAAGAAATCCAAGAAATGTTGCTCCCAAGAGTGTGGCAGAACAGACCTGCCTGTGGTGTTTGTGTTCTGTCAGGGGCAGAGAGGAGCTGTGGAGCTGACAGGTGATAAAACTCAGAAATGCTCCATGATCTGACCAACTCAAATTATTGCTCTGCCATGAGGTTTTGAAATGTCTTCTGACTGTCAGGATGGACTCTTTGCTGTCTCTCTGGGCTTTTCTCCAGGTACTGTCTTCTTTCATAGCTTACAGAATTACATGTTCTCTCACTAATAAATAAGATGGAATTTGTGTGTTAAGTTTGTGAGTGAGTTGCTGGTTTTGCGATTAAATATCATTTTATTCTCAGGGCTTCCAGAAGTATGTGGAAGATTTTGATCCATATTCAATGGTAAGGAAATAATTTCAACATGCCTCACTGTTTAATATGAAATACTCTGGGAAAAAAAAAAAAGCCAAATCCTTGATTTTGAGGGCTGGGAGTAGGTAGGATTCTTTCTTATTTGTCTTTTCTAGTCATGTTGAACAGGAATGTTCCTACAGGAAAAGGTGATGTGGTGTTCTGATCTTCCTCTTACACTATTTTAGAGGAGGGAAAGATCCCTTTTCCCTCATAAACTACCTAGATCAGCCTAATTGTTTTGTGTTTCCAAAGTGGAAATGATTAATCGTTATATCTTTTCACAGTTTACCCCAGAGCAGATTCTGGGAAAAGATGTGCGGCTACTACGAATAAAAAAGGTAAAGACTGTGTTGGTTGTTTGATATTTAAAAAGTTCATGTAAGCATTTCATGTACAGCATCATTTACTGGGAAGAAGGAAAGACTAAGCTCCTGTTAATAGCAAAAATTAACAGACTTTTCTGAACTAGAACTGTTTTTTTTCCATAGGAAGGATCGCTGGACCTTGCAGTCGAGGGAGGAATTGATTCTCCAATTGGGAAGATTGTTGTGTCTGCCATCTACGAGGATGGGGCTGCAGACAAACACGGTGAGCAGCAGTGGGGAGTGTGGATGCTGCAGCCAAGAGTCTCCTTCTCCTGACTGAGAATGCTTGGCTGATTTCACAGCCTGGTACTGAAAGGCTCACTTAGATTGCCCAAGGACCCAAGTTCTGTCTCAAGTTTAAGGGCAGCCCCCGTGTGCTGCTTAAATTTAATAATTATGTAAAATTTATAGAAACCAACACCTGATTCTCTGGTGTATTCTTTAACCAAGGAATACATTCTGCATTATTTCACAATTCCCAAGCAATGACATTTGTAGTGGTTCCTCGTGCAAAGCAATACCTTCAATAGCAATTTGTCTAGTTAGGCAGCTGGCTGTACTCCCCAAACCCAACTAAAGGCCAGAGCCTCTGAAGCTTGGCTCTTGAAGGTGCAAGAACGTGCTCACCAGCACATCTGGGCTTTGCACCTGGTGGGAAGACTCTGCCATCCTTTTCCTGAGAGCTCTTGTGGTGACCAGGTCAGGGAGGGCAGCATTCCCTCACAGAGCCTTTGCTGTCCTTGTCCCAGCCTGCACCTGAGCTCAGGTCACTCTTGCTATGAAAACATCTCAGTCATTTGGTCTCCTCTGAACTCTTTTTAGGTTCCCTCACAGCTAAGGCTGTCCTCTTAGCACCCTCTTCAAATCCACTTCCAGTTAACTGGTTGTTAAGCAGAGTTTCATTCTAGATTGGCAAAATCAGTTCTAAGGAGCAGACACAACACATACACTGCAAAGCAATGACAGTCATGCAAACCCTTGACAAATGCCATTTTATTCCTTCAGGAATTTAATTCATTTTGCCATTTTTATAGAATCATGGAATTTTTTGGATTGGAAGAGACCTTACAGATCATCTAATTCCAAGGCTCTGCCGTGGGCCAGGACACCTTACCCTAGACCAGGTTGCTCAAAAGCCCCATCCAGCCCAGCCTTGAACACTTTCAGGGCAGGGGCAGAGTAGTAACATCCTACATCAGTCCCAGTTTGTGAGCTGTAGAGCTGGATGACCCAAGCAGGCAAACTGTAGAAAATCACATGGAACTAGTTTCTTCCTGGTCATGATCAATGAGAGATTTGTTTGGCTTAAAAATTCCTTTTGTGTTTGCCTGCAGTAAACTTGCTACAATTTTTAGTGCATTCACTTTGCATTATAGTCAGCACTGCACAAATGTGGCACGGAAAAGACTCCTAGAATTTTGTTGTGCTTACATGTGTAACACATCTGTGTTTTCCCCAGGAGGAATAGTGAAAGGGGATGAAATACTGGCTGTGAATGGCAAGATATTAATTGACAGCAAGCTGGCAGAAGCACAGGCAACTCTAGGAAAAGCTTGGAACATGGGTGGGGTAAGTGACCTGGACCACTGCTTCATTCTACCCACAGAGCTCATGTGAGAGATGCTTTTCTGTCATGGCATTGTCAGGTCAACACAAACGAGTTTACAGACATCAAAAGTAGTGGGTGTGTCAGGTGCTCCCAGAGAAAACCAAAATCTGCTGCTGTGCAGCATCTCTGAAAACCACGTGTGTAATTTACTGGGAAATTTCATGGCATTCAGCCACGTGTCAGGATTGGCATTTAAACACATTACATGCTGAGTGGTTACAGTACCTTTAGATGTAGAATCACTCTTTGATATTGAAAATTACTTGCAAGCTGATTGGAATTTTTTGGTAATAGCTTATCTTTGATTTCTTGATGTACAAGCAACATTGCCCTTGAGCTGCATTGAGTGTTCCCAGTGCAAGAACTGCACCCATTGCTCAGATGACTGATACAGGATGAGTCTTAATTTTTTTTTTTTTAAATCTTGTTGCAACAGTAGATTTTTCTTTAATTTCAAGATACAAATCAAACAGCTCAATCTTTAAATGGTCTTCCTAAAGAAGCTTTTAATAGAGACCTTGCTGCTTCTCCCTGTGGTTTTCCAGGAATAGGTTAATTCCCTGATTATCTCTCATTCCATGGTGGTCCACTGGCCACCTCTGAAAACAGTATTTAGGATGTTAGCCTGACAGATGTGTGACAGATGTTAGCCTGTGCTTTTCTTTTTCAGGATTGGATTGACTTAGTCATTGCAGCATCACCTCCTAAAGAATATGATGATGAAATGTAAGTGCATCAGCTTTTTTCCTCTGGGGATTAAAAGCTGAGTAACAATAGCCAGTTTGCTTTTTTTGTCACACATTTTTCAAGTGTTTTGTTCTTCTTCTTGACTGTATAACCTCCTGCTTCACATGGTTGCTAATTGGATAGGAGTTATAAGTAGTTATAAGTAGCTGTCATGCATTACAGCAGTGGTTCCCAGAACTGCAAAATTGTGATTCTCAGAACTGGTTGTACGTGACTGCACACTCATACTTCTGGTTTAAAGTTTGAGGATTTGGGGGTTTGGTTGTTTTTTTTTAAGAAGTTACACTTAACTTCAGTCTGAATCATTTACTATATTCCCATAGATCATAATTGAGGGAAATAAATCCCCATAAGCATTCTGTATCACAACCAGACGTTTAATTCTGTTGTTTGGTTTGGTGGTGGCTTTTTTTTTTTTTAATTAGATTGCAGCTACTGTTCTTGTCTAAGCAAACTTATGCAAAATTTTCAAAAGAGTTTAAGTGATTTGAGTGTCTTGGAAATGTTCATAAAATCCTTGTTTTAAGGATAATCAGTATAGGTGTGAAGGAGAAGAATCTACAGCTACCAGTGTGATAGAGGTATCAAGTCTGTACAACTTGCTTTACTTTGGACAGTTTCAAGAGCCAGACCCATGTTTTCTAGTTTGAAGGAGAAGATTTGAAGATATCCTTTCTACCAAGTAAAATGGCAGAGCAAGGTTTTGTAGCCACTGTTAACCTGGGCTCTTGTTCTAGGCAGAATACTGAAGTATTAATTGCTGTAAATCAGTTTAACTGGCTAACACCAACTGTAGATTGACATGAAATTTTGTTTAATACCTGTTCATAACCTAATGGGCAAGGAAATAACTGTCACTGTTATTTTTGTTTTCATATCTTGTGTATTTAGCCCTACCATTCCCTCCTCAGCAGTCAGTCCCAGCACACACAGAAAGGTTTTTGAAGGCAGTGCACCTGTGTACAGACAAGGCTATCTCCTGCAGCTGTAACCACTGCAGTGTCCCTCCTGGTGAATAGCACACCTGCCTGGACATGCCTGCCCATTGTGGCCACGTTATTTTTCCAGCATGTTCCTGCCTGTGCATTGCTTGCCATCCTTGCTTTTGTTCCTGGCATGCTGGAGCTGGAGTGTTCTTTGGGCTTTTGCCATGCCTGTGCTATTAAAATATGAATATTTCGTTTCTACTTCATAAAGTCCCTCGGAGTTCCTCTGCAGGATTGGTTTATCACCTGCCAGACTGTTAAATAAATAGGCCCTGTCTAAACAAATAGGATTAACCTGAGGTTTTTCCCTTATCTGTGGACCACTGCTGTGGCTTTGTGAGTTCATAAGTAGAACAGCAGCTACAAATGATTTTCTTGTGAAGGCTTGTCCAAAGAACAAGTTTCCATTTGGATTATTCACAGTGTGCCTGCAAACGAGTATTCATGAGTGTTGGGTTTTCACTGAAGTTTGGCTCTGTTAATTTGTCATGTATCTATACTGTGGGTTTGTTCTGGAATTATCCTTGTCTCAGAAATTCAGTTTACTCTGTAGGGTTTCTCTGTGGCTGTAATCACTGTAAGTACAGTCATAGACCTCTAGAATTAACAAAGTTAAGATTTCTTGTTGCATGTGGGTCTTCTCAATTATTACTTATAATAAAAATCAAAACTACTTAAGATCCAGTTTAAAAACTGTGCTTACTGGAAAGATTAAAAGTTTCATGAGAGCTAACAGCATGTTTCTCACTATCTTTTTCTTTTTTCCCACAGGACATTTTTTTAAGGACGACTACAACTATTGAAATGGAATCTCTCCTCAGCAGAAACCCACTGCTCAGTAAATTAATAGGGAATCATTAACCACATGAAATTCATCTTTATTGACTCACCTGTAAATTGAACTAGAGACATCAGATTCTTCAGACAATTTGAATAATTTATTATCATTCTATAGATATACAGCAAATCTTTTTTTGCATGATTGAAAAGAACTGCTAACCAGCACAGTTCAGTCTGTGAGTGCTTGATCTCTTTTTGCTACCTTGAGGGGCCAAATTCTGCAAATCATCTCAGTTTTCCTGGAATAGACTCTAAAATGACAAATGAAGATAGAACACAGATGTCTGTTCCCACCTACAACACTTTTGAATACACATTCACAGGCCAGTCTGGGTGTGAAAAGAATTATATTTTTACTTCCTAGATAGTGATTTTCCTGGGAAAATGGGAAAGTACACAGGTAACTTCTGTTCTCCTGTTCTTGTAGCTCTCTTAATGTCCATTTTTATGTCCCAGTTGTGAGGGTTTTTTTGAGCATAAAAGCCTTGCTGGTGAAATAATTGGGAATACCAGGACTGCGAGCATTATAAGGAATAATTTTGATTGTGTTGCTCATACAGTATAAAGAATCTTCTGTACCAGCAGAGTAAATAACTAGCAAGGAGCTCAGATAAAATCATTATGCATAGTCACATTCATGCTTCTGAGTATTTGTATTGGTGGCAAAAATTCCTCCCTCATATAGTCATGGGTGGAAAATTTGGGTGTGATTCAGAGTCTGCTGTTTTGTACTTTGTTCTTAGTGAGCCTATAAATGTGACTGAACTATGCAGGAAGCCACCAAGTGTAACGTTCTGCTCTTGGTGACTCTGTGCCTTGGGTTTGAGTAAATTCCTCAAGACCATAAAATCAATACCAGCTTGTCTTTAATTATTATTACAGTTGAAAACTTAGTAATTATATTCTAGAGATGCCTCCTTAGAAATGTCATTGTCTCCTCCTTTTCCTCTACCTGCCTGTTTGTGTTCTTTTTTTTGTGTTGTGTTTAGATTTTTCTCACCTGTTCTACTGAGAGGCAGTTCATTGGCATATCAAATTCCCACTGAAATTTTGCCTTTTCAGGGTTGGAAAACCCTCCTCTTCTCCAATACAGAAAAATAACAATTACATTCTTGAGAATTCATATATGCAGATGCTTACATAAGTTAACTTTCCTTATTTGCAGTATTCTTCCAGTATGCCAATTAATGTGTGTGGCAGGGTATGTATGTTAGAATATTTTAAATGTTGAACTCTTACAACTAATCCAGAAATAAAATTGCATTTGCCAAAATGGAAGAAGTCTAGTTCCCATTTGTCTCTGGGTTTGTATCATAGTAATAGTTAATCTGCTGAAACACACAGATTTCTGAGTTTTTTTCAATAACAGAACCACTTGGAAGAGATTGCCACCCTTGTGGAGCTCAAAATTCACTCTGCACAGAAGGAAATTTTCCCTTGGCTGAGCTGCAGTAATCTTTTACAGAGTTTTTGGGGACAAATCTGGTCATTGGCAGTTGGCAAGCTACCACAGTTGCTACAGCATTTTTTTTTTGCCAGGTCTTAGCATGCACTTACCCAGGCCTGGAGACTTCCTAAGCATAAATTGATGTAAATGCTGAATGCATCAAGATCAGCAGCAGAAGGGGAATTGCAGCAGGGTCCCAGTTGCCTACACACTGCAGCCATCTGGGCTGTGTGACTGCACCAGACATGGGTGATGCTGCTCCCAGGGCTGCTCAGCAAACAGAGCCACAGCAATGCACCACTAAGGAACTTCAGTGCTTGACTGTGCTAAACACTGCCTCAGCACACCAGGGAAAATAACACAACGTAGAGGTGAGATATTAGAACTATTTCTACTGGTGGTGGTTTTTTTTTCAGAGACAGAAGGAGCAAGACTGAGCTGGGAAATCTGTGGGAGTACCAGCAGTTGAGTTGTAGCCTTGCTTCTTAGTCACAGAACTATCTTTCTTCTCCCCATCTATCCTGTGAACTTGATTTTCTTAGATACAGCTTAAAATGCATGAGAGGCAGTTGAGGAAATGGTTCCTGCTCAGTACTTCAGGGATATGAAGCAAGTGTTGCATTGAGGGTTTAACCTGTGTTAGGATGGCAGAGTTGCCTTAGGCAATGTAAGGAGGTGGTGTCAGGAGAAAGGAGCCTGACACTTCTGGAATCTTAAAATGATCTTAAGCCATTAGTCAGGTAGTTTTTTTACTGTATTTCTGATTTTCAGTGCCCTAGAACTGCATCCCATCTTTCATTTGCCTGCTAGCTCAAGGGGTTGGAAAATACTACAAGAAAATACATTTTTCAAGCAGCTTCGCTTTCAGTTACTTTGATGTGTGTGAGCAGTGTCCAGGGTGTAAATAATTTAAACAGGGGTGCCCATTTTGAGTTGTTGCTGCACTGTTCCTTGGTGGCTGTCAGTCATTACATGTGCCTCAGCCCTGTTCAACAAGGCCAGCTTTGAAAAGATAACAGTGAGAGCAAATGGGACTTTCTCTTGTTCAGCCAGTGCTGTTTCCTTTGGGAGTGTGGAAACTGTGACCTGATGCACGGAGCAGGAAGGAGTCCAAGTACTTCAGTGACAGTATCACGAATGCTTCCAGCCACTTTGAAGAGAAGATGGCTTTTTGTTTTTCATTTGCTCTAATCTCAGAGGGAATATGTGTAGTTTCTCAGAGCTGTTTGTTTGGTTAAGACTGCCAAACCCCACTATCTCTGTCTATGGGATAATAACCCAGAGGAAGACTTTCTCAGAACTGTTAACAACCATTCTTATTCTCTCAGGAATTCCTTGGCCACGTTGTCTTTAGCAAACCCCTCAGAGCTGCTGAACCGGAGCACGAATTACATTAGAGACTTGTGACTTTGACATCTGCTCTGAGAGGCTGTGCGTGCCTGTGTGCAGGCAGCAATGAGAGCCCCTGTGGAGCAGAACCATGGCATGCATGGCAGGATAGGAAATACCACGGGTTTGTACTCATATGGATATTAGCACAGGAAGGTCTTTGATTTATTTATTGCTCCCGTTCTGCTAATTCATCATTTAGCTACTGTTTACCACGTGGCCATGGCATCTTTTAGAAATTGTGCACACATTTCAGAGAAGCTGTGGTATTTTTACAATGCTCTATTCACAAAGAAATGTACAACATAAAGAGGGGTGCATGCATGTACATACACTAGTAAGGATGTTAAAAATCAGCTTAATTTGAGGAGCACACATGTACAAATAATCTCAGCACTTCACAAATGAGACATAACATGGGCATACATATAATTTGTTATAACCCTTCTCACCAGAAAAAAAAGAGTGAAAAGTCATGGCTTTGTCAAAGCATGCCTATCTGGTTGTAAAGAGTTTGATATGCAATAATTGATAGAGGTCCTCCTGTTTGCTTCAGCTGTGTGCTGACCCTGAGACAGTGTGGTGAGACTTTGGGTCATTGCTGTGGAATTCTCAGCTGTCCTTCACCACAGAGAGTCCCCCCTGGGATTTCTGTTGATATGAACAGATACCTTTCCACCATCTAAGGACAAGGTCTAGCATAGAAAAGCCAGTGTCTTAAATGTAAATACCTGACCCTTAAGATTACAAATCAGATGAGTCCCTTGTAATCAATTTATGAAAAGGTAATAATGCTAGATCCTCATACTGAGTTTGACCTTCAGTGTTTTTCTGCTGTCTGCAATTTTATCTTTTGCAATTGTTCTTGTTGTCAGGAGATTTCTGCTTTTTTGACTGACAGAAATTTCTGGATCAGAATTCAAAATTTCTTTTCTGCAGACTTGAGATCTGAGGTGGCTCCAGGTGTGTTCACAGGTCACAGCAAACTTTTTTAAGGAGAATGACTAGGATGCTTTCTTTCCTTCTGCCTAGGGAAGGCATCCAAAGGTTTGCCTGTGCTGGAATACTTCTTCCTCCATCACTAGAGCCACATTGATGTGTTATTGAAGGACTCAGATAATAGCACATCACTTTGCTGAGAATCAGGGTCTACTTATATTTACAAGGTAACTTTTGGTCTCTACTGAAATAATCTAGAATGAAAGAGGAAGTGGAGACAGGCATAGGAAAAGCAATCAATACAATTTCTGTTCTCTAGGAAGGAAGCTTTTGACATGTGAAGCTTCAGAGGATCATGGCTTACAGTTAAGGAAGGAAAGTATTCTCCAAACTGTGCTGATGGCTGCATACCATAATAGTGTAACAGCCAGCAGAGGGAAGCTTTAGGGAATTCAGTAAGTTGTAGACTGGCAGCTCTTGGATATGTAAGTGTGAATTGCTGAACTCAGAATGTTTGTCTGTGTGGAACAGATGTGAGTGTGATGTCCTGCAGAGAGTTCCTTCAGGATTCACAGAACCTGCTGCATGACTAGCCGTGGGTATCCCTTGCACACCTGAATTGTGCTTGAGAAATGTTTGCCTCTGACAAAGCAATCATGGAGTGAAGCAAGCACTGAAATACCTGCTTCCATTTGAGCACATGGGCCAATCCCATTGGCATAGGCTGGGTTCAATCATCCTACTCAGCCTTAAGGATTTTGCTGGATGGAGGCCTGAAGTCAAAATCTGAAGGCAATTGATGCCTTAGTCCTGGACATGCTTAGTAGGGAAACTTGTTAATGCTAAAGTTCTGGTATTCATAATGAATTTTAGTTCCTCCTCATTTTCTCAAATAATCTTTCAAGGTTATTCCTCCCAGCAGCTCCCACTGCCCATTTTCTTGGCTTGTCCTCATCTTATCTTTTCTCACCATTTCTCTTCTAAGCATCAGTAAAACTCATTAGTCTTCAATAGCTGTAACAGTTTGTTTATATGGTGCTGAGAGTAAAGTTTGGGAGAAAGAGATTGAGATTCTCCCAACATAAACTAAGCAAGATAGAAACCAGGCAGCCTTTTAGAGAACAAGGACTTTTCTAAACAGTGAGGAAGGGAGAGGGAAAGTTGCTAATGGTTGTTCTTTATGCAAAGCTACACCTATGCATGTAAAACCAAGACAGTTTCAAACTACTTTTCCTGAATTTTTTTTTCTCTTCCCTTTGCTTTTCCCCTAAGCAGTTCTGGATGCTTTAGCACTGAGACCCCATGCTCATGCTGGCAACAGCTTGAGGCCCTTGAATATAAATGCCACTTAACAGAGGGCAAAGAACACTAGCTAGAAAACATTTTTAGAAACCCTCGAGAGAAAATAAAGCTTTGACTAAAATCTTGTAATAAATATTTCTTTTGCAGGGTGAAATAACTTCTCAGGGTTATCCTTTAAAACTAAGTAGATTAAAACTTTGCAAATATTGGTGTTTTTGTTACTCTTTCTCTCCCTCCTGTATAAAATGTGGAATTTTCAGAGTGGAGACACCCACAAACAAATTTTAATCAGCAGCAATTCCAACCTCAAGGAAGGACAGAGGGAAAGAAAGAGAAATGTATGTTCCTGTTTAGATTATTCAGAAAGAATTGTGGTGAAGCAGATCTCTGAATGTTATTAACCTGCTAGGACAGAAGAAATTTCATACTCTTCCTCAGTGGAAATCAGGCAGCTGCATCTAAATGCAGAGGAGTGACATACACAGCAAGAATCCAGATGGAGAGGACACACAGGTATTTTCTCCAACGAACATATAAATCTCTTACTGGTTATTTCAGAATTTACAGGTGGGTGCAACATAATTTATAATGTTTTTCTTCTTGGAGAATTTAATTGCAACAAATTTCAGTTAACACTTGTAGGGCTGACTGAAACAGAGGTGGTGGGAATATGTTTTGGTTGGATCATTCACAGGGAAAAATTAATTGAATGTATTGAGTTGCCATTAAGTTATAATGATTTGTCCCATATTGTACTGCTACAGGAAAGCTGTGTTTGTTTGTTGTCAGCTGTAACAGTATTTACATTTCTTTGCCTCTAGCCAGACAAACAGATGCAGAGATGATTTTTTTCTATTATGCTATTGAAGTACATCAGGAATAGTATAACTTCTCAAGGATAAAATTGCCTGATACTGCCTTTTCTAATGATGTCTTTAAACTCGTGTGTACATGAAGAGATGTTTAAAATACCATAGTAAATAGATGGGGAAAAGTGGCTAGATTTATAAATGACACAAAGGGACAAAATTCTTACCCTTCCTTACACTAGGACAATGCAAGTGACTTTTATAAAAGGGACATCACCATTTTCCTAGGAGCAGATAACACCTGAGTATGAAATCTCAACTCTTCTTTCTTTGATATTGATGTGGTCTCTTCATCACATCAGCAGGGCCATGATCACTATAACCAATGCTCCCAACTGTG